TTTTTTTCTCTAGTGCCTCATTTAGTTAATATAGTTTCATAAGACTTTTAAATATCTGGAAGGGGAGTTTACTCATTAATCTTACTTTTTAAGAGAGTAATTTTTCCTGGCTGTTCTTCCATTACCAATTTCCAGATGCTCATTAAAAACGCTTTATTAATAAAAGGATTTTAATGACTAAAATTGGGGATGCGTTAGATGGGGATAGATTAATTTTCTTTTAGGTTTATTTTAGTTAATATCATAGAATTTAAGAGTGGGAAGGAAACTTCCAGTTAAACTCTTCCAACCTCTAATTTTATTTCTGTCATTTTAACATGGAAGTTTCAAACATAGACTAAGAAGAAAGTGTACTTAAACTCCATATGCCATCCCCAGGCTTCGGCAGCTTCCTATTCGTCACCATTCCTTTTTCCACCACAGTTCCACTCATTCTTATGCCAGTTGCTGTGGACTGAATCAAAGCTCCAACATATTTCATCAGTTACTCTAAATGATAAGGAGTCTTCAGACACAAGCGTAATTCTATGAGCACATCTAAAGTAACTCATAACAACATGAATTATTAACTAAGTAGTATTCAGATTTTCCCCATCATCTGATAATCATTTTCAAGTTTATTTTGTTGAAACAGCATATGGACAAGGGGCCATATGTTGCAACTGATTAACCTAACCTCACTGTAGTGTATAGGTTTCCCTTTCTTCCTCTTTTTTTCCTTTTTGCTACTTATTTGTTGGAGAAACTAGGTTGTTTTTCCTGTAGACTTCTCTAGATTTCAGATTTTGATGAGTATGTCCCCAGGGTGGCACTTAACATACTCTTCTTTACCTTGCATTTCCTGTGAATGAAAGTTAGTTCCAGAGGCGTATTCAGATTTGGGTTATTTTTGTGTGTTTTTGCAGTAATGTTTCATTGTTGGTGATATTACTTTCATCAAGAAACACAGGAGGCTTGGTTATCTCTTTGTGATGTCAGCAGTTGTTAATAATTACCTAGATTTGTGAATTCTTTAGGTGTTGGAGAATGGTGGTATTTTAATATTAGTGTTCAGTCTTTGTTTATTAGCAGGAATATTTTTTAAAGAGAAACTTTCCCTAGTGAATTATTGGGTTCTGTGAGGTACACTGGATGAAGAAAGGCAGGATAAGTGCTTGTTTCTCCCTTTGATTACCAGTCTTCAGAGTAATGAGTTGGTTTTGTGGCATCATCCAAAGATGACCAGCAAGTTGGTTTGTTTTGTTTTATTTTCATTATGAAGCCATAGCTTCAAAACAACTTGCTTTGCTTTCAGTCTGTTGCTGTTGTGATTCTTTCTGATGCTTAATGTGCCATCACTGTCCAGTGTGAGCCTCATCGAGTTGTTTCTGATTCCTTCCAACGTGACCCTAGTGGCCTGTAATAGCTTCTTTGTTACCTGCTATGACAAGATATTGAGGGTTACCTTGTGCATGCTCTGCTTCAGGTCTATTCTTGAAGGAACAGTGGTATCTCAAGATAATCTGGGCAGCCACACCTTTTACAAAAGAGGATGTTGAAACCTTGTGAAATTGATGGATTTACTCAAGACTGGTTTTAGCATGGTACTAACTTTAGACTTCTAATCTAGATTTTCCCCCCTTAACTCTTTAGCAAAAGAAGGTTTTGATGTAAAATTAAAGATCCAAGACATTAAAAATATGTGTTGTTTCTTGCTATTTATTTTGAATTTCAGAATACTATATTAACTATTACCTTTAAGTCTCCTAATTAGAAAACAGTAAATACACATTTAGAATTAACAAGGAAGTAATTTATCTTTCTTTTGAAGAATGTTACCCTTTTTTTTTTTTTTTTTTTTAGACAGTCTTGCTCTGTTGCCCAGGCTAGATAGTGCAGTGGTGTAATCTTGGCTCAGTGCAGCCTTTACCTCCTGGGTTGAAACGGTTCTCCTGCCTCAGCCTCCCTAGCAGCTGGGATTATGGGTGTCCTGCCACCACGCCTGGCTAATTTATATAGTTTTTTAGTAGAGACAGGATTTCACCATGTTGGCCAGGCTGATCTCAAACTCTTGACCTCAAGTGATCCCCTGGCCTTGGCCTCTCAAAGTGAAGAATGTTCTTTATGGACTAACTTTATAATCTCTGCCACATTTTGTCAGTGACTAGGTACTTTAAAAATGGGGTTCAGGCCTGGTGCGGTGGCTCGTGCCTGTAATCCCAACACTTTGGGAGGCTGAGGCAGGTGGATCACCTGAGGTCAGGAGTTCAAGACCAGCCTGGCCAACATGGTGAAACCTCATCTCTATTAAATATACAAAAATTAGCCAGGCGTGGTGGCGGGCACCTGTAATCTCAGCTACTCGGAAGGCTGAGGCAGAGGATTGTTTAAACCCAGGAGGCGGAGGTTGCAGTGAGCCGAGATTGTGCCACTGCACTCCAGCCTGAGCGACAGAGGGAGACTTCATCTCAAAAAAATAAAATAAAAATGGGTTTCACAATCCATACAAAAGTTACATTTATAATTTTTTTGTAGACTAATGCTATGCAGTTGGTACTGGGTGGTTTCTTGGTCATGCAGTGTATTTGATAAATTATTTAGTAGCTGTGTAAAGTAATGTTTTCAGATAACTCTGTCTTTCTCATCTACCAAGACACTGCATAGAAGTTCCTATTTACCCAGAAATTATGTAAGTTCTTAAAGCCAGAGTCTTTTCAACCACAGCATTTTACAGGATTTCTGTGGATAAGAAATTAATGTATTTCATGGGATATTTGTATCTTTAAAGTGGAACTTGCATGCTGGGAATGCTTTAAAAAGAAAGTATTTGCATAAATGTTATGTATATAGCTAGTAATTTTGAACATTTATTCCACTGTTGGAATGTCTTTTTGCTTGAATAAGAACTTTTCTGACTCTTTGCTCCAAGAAGACACATAATGACACATAATCTTGCATTCTTCATGGCAGATGTCTGCTGTTAGCGAAAATGATGAGTCGTGTACATATTTCATACTTCGGTTTTGTTCTTCACAGTTTTGTTTCTCTCTCTAGACTTATTACAAGCACTGACCCTTTAAATTTATTGAAATATTCTCTTACTGTTATTTATAACAAATCATTTCACTTCGAACATGCTTAAAAGTTATGTTGTCTTTTCTTTCTAGGAGGCGCTGGCTACGATTAGGCTTCTCGACGTCCTGTGCGAAATGACTGCGAACACCGAGCTGCTTGGCTATCTGCAGGTTTTCCCTGGCTTGCTGGAAAGAGTGATTGGTGAGTGGAATATCACACATTGTATTTTTAGCTAAGAAATCTTTGGCTTGTCACACTGTAATGTAAATCCAAACACAAATCCTGAATTTTCAGTGTACTTTTGGGAATTTTGTGAATATAGTATTTTGAGAGGAATCAGTGTTGTAACAGTTCGGGCGGGGCCAGATAAACCTGAGCCCACATTGTTGTTCAGCCCCTTCCCTTCTGTTTAACTGAAGATTCCTTCTCGGTAACGTGAGGATAACAGTGCCGGTTACGCACATAGTAGCTGTTTCATCAGTATAGGATGTGATGAAGATGGAGGGGCAGGGGAGGTTTGCGATGATGATAGTGGTTTTATATTACTATAGCTTTGCAAAATGTGGCAGTAAATTTTTCCCATTTACATTTAGTGAACACGTAGAATGATGTTGTACACATATTATATATAAAAATCTTGTGAGAAAATGGTTTAAACAAGAAGCCATTGTTAAAGACATTACCACCCTTGCTAAAAAGCTGTTTGCAAAATAATTCAAGTAGAACATGTTCCTTGTGGTTAGCCATGCTTAGGTTTGCTGTTCATTGTTCACTAGTTTTTCCTTTAAAGAGACAGTACTTACTCTGGAGACCAGTGTACTGAGAAAGATGGCTTTGTGTCTAGCAGTATAGACGAGCTAGCAGTGAGCTGTAGAGGAAGATCCTTAAGAGTTCCCATCAGTGTTGTATTTTGAGTACAGTGCTTTTAGTGATAATTCAAATACAACACCAGGAACCTGGGACACTGAGTGATTACAGAAAGAGCCTGAGTTTGGAGCCAGGGTCAGCGTGTGTTGCCATCCCAACTCTGCCAAGTACCAACTTTTCTGAGCCTCTTTTTTTCATTTTAAAATTGGGAAAGCGATACCTTCCTGTATAGATTTGTTGAGAGGGTTAAATGAGATAATGCGGAAACACGGAAATACAGTTCCTGAAAGATTGTCTGTTTTCATTGGCTGCCGAGAGGTGCTCACAGAGGATAGCACTGACAAGTTCTTTCTCCTGAATGTAGCTGAAATGAAGTATGTCAAACACATGCTGCCTTCTGATGATTTGGCTGACTGGATGAGGGGGAAGAGCAAGCACTCTGGGTTTCTATTATATGCGTCATTATGAATAGATGCTGTGTTTTAGACTTCACTGACTAAAGTTATTACAGAGTTCTTTCATAAAGAAGTTGAGATTGGAAACCTTTTTGTAAGAAGGATGCTAGCAAATTTTTGGCTAACTTTTCTTTGTAGATAAAAAGAAATTCTGAGTTGAGGCAGTCATTATGGCTTATGTCTCTAAAACTGGAGTAAACAAATGTAAAGCAAAGGCAGAAGAGCCTTTGAATCATTGTTTAAAGACAGCTTTCAGTGCTCTATCTTTATTCTAGTAAAATAAATTAGATTTGTTTATAGAAACTAGTAGTACAAAATACTAAAAGTTACTTTTCTATGGAAAATGAAGTTTACTCTTTTGGTTATAGATCTTTTACGGATGATTCACGTAGCTGCGAAAGAAACCACAAACATTTTCAGTACTTGTGGTTGTGTGAGAGCAGAAGGTGACATCTCCAATGTGGCCGAGGGGTTTAAGTCTCATCTCATTCGTCTGATTGGAAATCTGTGTTACAAGAATAAAGATAACCAAGACAAGGTAAGAGGATTGCTTAGCATGTATTACACATACATGGCTTCATTTAGAATATAGTCTTTGGAAGACATTCACTCTTTTGGAGTGAAAGCCTGAGGTGCTTAGAAAGTAGCTTGGAGAGAGCTACATATTTTATATGTATACACACACACACACATACACACACGTATGTATATATACATATATATTAATGTATAGGCTCTTTGTAGCCTAGACAGATTTCTAACACATAGTAGATATTTACTAAACACTAGTTATTATTGCCTGTTATCTTAAGAAAAAATAAAACTTTTATCTATAGCCTATGTTTATGGATGGTAGCATCATAAGCCTTTTCTTCTAGGTGTTTTAAAATGGATGTAAAAGGAATATAATATTTAAGTATGAAGTCTTTGAGGACCCAGTAGGCTGCTTTTAGAAATCTCTTATGTGTGGATGAACTTAAAGGTAATTATATTGAGAATGTGAGAGAATGGTAAGAAAGATCTCAGGGCAATTGGACCACATGCTTCACATCAATCTCATCATCCTGTATTTTTCTGGAGTTTTACTTTGGGTGACATTTGATTGCTTAGTTAAATATTAATTAAATTTGTACCAGATTACACTTTTAAGATGATGGCAGAACGTCTTGCATTTTACGTATGTTTCTGCAGTAAGACTTTGCCACTCCCCTGTCAAGGATTGGCATCTATTTGTCCATCTCCTTGAATCTGTGGCTGCTGTGAGCAATCAAATACGTGATCCTAAACAATTTCTAGCATAGCCCTTAACTGGTCTAGCTGATTCTATTTCTGGCTCCTTAGAAGCCAGTCACCACGTGAGGAGTATAGATTCCCTGAGATGACCTTGCTGTGAGTTGCTGAATACAGGTGGGAAAGGCTGGAAGATAAGATACAATGAGGAGAGAGGAAAAGTCTAGTCAAGGAACATCAAGGCATGAGATGTGTGTGAGAAACCATCTTGGGAGTAGATCCAGCCTCAGTTTCTTACTTGCCCTGCTGATGCCACATACATCAGGCCCCCCCTTACTGGGCAAAACCCTTTCTGAATTCATGACCCATAGTATTGTGAGAAAAAGTGAAAAAAAAAAAAAAAAAAAAAAAAAAAAGGTGATGTAGGTTCCATATCTGTTAGTAGCCCAGTCAGTTACTGTTGGTCTGATTCTTCTGCAAATAACAATTATAAACTTTGGACAAAAACCAGCCATGCGAAGACACTCAAATTTGACACAAATGGGCAGATTCTGGAGTGCAGTTGACACCGGAATAAGGGAGTGACACAGTGTATGGCATCAGGGCAGTGAAAAGTCATTACAAACTCTTCAGTCTTTCTTTCTAGCTTGAAGAATCAAAGAACAGTTTGAGGGCAACCATAGCATTGGAAAGTGAGGGGGGAATTGTGGAGAGCAGAAAACAAACCCACCTCTGTGTATCAGCTACCTAAATTTCTGCTAATGTCTGAATCACATGTGCGGGGCAGGCTCCAAGCAGCTATACTAAGAATGAAATAATCATATTAAGATTTAGAGCACCTACCCTAGAGTTTATAGTACAAGTCCAACTTATACTGTAGATCATTGATAACTGCCCTCTAAAAGAAAAATATCAAGACCCTTTTTTTTATGAGGTGGAGTCTTGCTCTGTTGTCCACGCTGGAGTACAGTGGCGTGATCTTGACTCACTGTAGCCTCCACCTCTCGAGTTCAAGCGATTCTCTTGCCTCAGCCTTCTGAGTAGCTGGGACCATTGGTATGTGCCACCATACCCAGCTAATTTTTTGTATTTTTAGTAAAGGTGGGGTTTCACCATGTTAGCCAGGCTGGTCTCAAACTCTTGACCTCAGGTGAGCCACTACACGTGGCCTAAATATGAACACTCTTTAGAGGAACATAATAGAATCGAGAATTGCTACAACATAATGTATTGTGCAATGTCCAGGATATAGTTTAAAATTACTTGATGTACAGGAAAGTGTGATCTGTTCTCAGTTGAAAAGATCATCAGTGGAGACTGACTGTGAATTGGAAGACACAGATACTGGGTTTAGCAGACAAGGATTTGAAAGCAGCAAATGTAACCATGCCCAAGGATGTAAAGGCGATATGCTTCATAGGAATGAAAAGATAGAATATCTCAGCAGAGAAAGAGAAACTTCAGAGAACTAAATGGAAATTCTAGAACTGAAACATAGAGTATCTAAAAATTTTTAAAATTACCGAATATGCTTAACCTCAAGAAAGATCACAGAAGAAAGAGCTAGTACACTTTAAGATGTATCAGTAGAAATCCTCTAGTCTGAAAAACAAAGTCGGGGAGAAAAATTGAAATAAAATGTCCATTTCAAGATGCTAAATTTTGGGGCAATTTGTTATGTAGCCATTGATAACTGGAATAATTCCTGTGAGACATGGCACAGAACCAAACTCTAGACAACTTGCGCTTTTAGTATATCGGCACATCATTTTGTCACTCCTCATCTTCAAGAGTTTGAAACTACTTACTGGACAGATTTTTGCAAAAGAAAGGTGATAGAGAATAAACACTTTACCTTTTTAATGCCCAGGACTGCCTTTCTTGGGCCCAAAGAGGTGGTTTTTCTTGTGTTTAACTCTTCTTTTGTTGCTAATTTGGACTGGCCTCTTACAGGAACAAAATGTAGTAACCCTTAAAAGGCTTGTGAAATAACTCACTGTTGTCAGGACCAGATTGCACCAGGAGTAAATATGGAGTGTGCCCAAGTGCTGCTGTGTAGAGGTCACCGGGGCGCACAGGAAGTCAGTGGTGTGTCCTGTCACTTGTGAGGTTGCTAATAGCACTGCTGATTTCTCAGCAAACAGTGTAGAGGGTATGAAGGAGTTCATTCTTTGAGTATCAACCCAAATGCCTCTGTTTCTTCCAGTTTCTTACCTGTGTCAACAAAAGGCCTGAACCTGAAAGCATTACCTCTGGGATTTTTTTTCTCCTCCCAAAGACTCTTGACACAACACCAATATCTTATTCTAGATGTGCTGGAGTCTTCTTTATTCTTGTAGTCAAATCCTGGATCCAGCTAGGTGTTACGAGTGTTTGCCTTGCTCATTGTTGCCTTAAGGGATGGAGCGCACTAGCACTCAGATGACTTTGGTTGTAGTTTTGGGAAAATGTAATGGATGGTTATGTAGCAGTTCTTTATCAGGGGCCAATAATTCTCAGTGTTTGTCTTGATATGTTGTCCCACTTCTAACCCAGCTAAAGGGAAATTTGGCTCTGTCTCTGCTCCAGGACTAAAGATCTGAGTTGGGGGGGATTTCGTGTCATCTAGCCTAATTTGGGTTCCCCCTTTGCTCAAAAGACAAAAGGGCCTGATGATTTATTGTTTAGTGTTTACTATGTCCCAGCATTGTGCTTAGTGAATTACATATATTATCAACTTTAATCTTTGCATCAGCCTTGCAAAGCAGGTTCTGCTAACCACATTTTAAGGAGAGGCCATCCAGTTAGTGAGGTGCAGAGCCCAGGGTAGAATTGGGATTTGTTTGCCTGTTGAGTTCCCAGGGCCGTGCTTACTTCCCTGCACCATGGTGAGAGCTTTTCGAAGAGTTGAAGGAAAGGGTTTAAAGTAGACTTTCTGAAGGATTTCACGCTGGAGGCTGGTCAATCTGGGTCTCCTAGGCCAGCCTGGCCCCTTAGACTCCCTCCTGGATGAAGTCTGGAGCTCTGGGGGTCCTTTCATCTCTGTTTCTGATTCACCCATTCATCAAATATGAATGTTCCCAGCCTTGGGGATCCTTTGATGGGTAAGTCAGGCAGGTATATCTTCTGTGAGGTTTCCATTTTGGGAGCATCTGGGGACCATGCTTGCCTCTTTGAATCAGAATCCCAGACTACTCATGACACAAATTTTCCTAAAATCTTTGTGTACTGCCTGATTCCTCTGAATTTTGAGCAAGAGTCTTTTAAGCCCAACTGTGTCTGTGTTGTTTGTATAACTTCATCCATTGCAGTGAGTATGGTGCCCACCTGCAGGATGGCCCCCTTAAACTGGTGTGGCCCTTTCCATTTTCCAGAATTGTTTTCATCTGCTTTAGTTTGTTGGAGCCTTATGAGACCTCTGTGGAAAGGGCCGAAAAGGTATTTCCAGCATCATTTTCTAAATGAAGAAACCAAGGCCCAGAGACCAAGTGTGATTTAATTCAGCCAGCACTTGCTGAGTGGAAAATGCTGTGTGTTACATGCTCTGGAGAAGACAGTCACTTTAGTGGGGGGAATGACACACGTGCACTTGGAGCTGTAGCAAAAGCCCATGTGGTGAGGCCTGTCAGAGAAGAACAGGTGGGTGATGTGTCCTCTGGGCTGGCTGTGCCAGGAGCATTTCTCTCTAAGAACAGGCTGGACTGCCAGGAGCATGGTATTAATAGGAAGGGTGATCATCTTTCTTTGAGATGTCTGTCTTTGGCTAAGATTTAAGAGAATCAAGGTACCTGGCCTCAGATTGAAAATCTTCACAAAAGTGTACTTTACCCCAAATTGTCATGAGTCTTTAATGCTTAAGTCTGTACATGTGGTAGATGTAGTGTTTCCTGAATTGTAAAGGAGTTGCTAGACTTTCCTTTCCCATGTCATGGTAGGGAGGTGTCAAATCCTTACTGACTTCCATTCTTATTTTTTGTTCTCAACTTGCATAGTAATTCCTTGCTACAACTGCAGTGATTAGTTTACTTCTAAACTTTTGTGGACGTAAATGGAGATTCTGTTTTAGTTTCTATTGTAAGAAGCACAAAGATGCTAATGCTGTAAACATGAAGAAAGCATTCTTCGATGACTTCGTTAGAATAAGGAATGTATGGTTTACCTTTTTCTTCCCCATTCTTCTTTTCTTCACAATTGTCATAACCTCTTTAAGTGAATATTCATTAGGAGAAAAAACAAACATGTTTATTTCATAAAGCCTAATGCAGTTTTCAAATCGGACAGACAGATGATCTAGTTTTTCTGCCTTTCCCCCCAAAGGAAATTGTATTG